TATTTTATATAAAACAGAATCACCTATTGCAATAGTAAAGCTCTAAAAAGCGGCAAGGTGGTCTAAATGGCCTCATGTGCATTGTTTGTAAAATATATTTGCTTGATACAAATATTTACACATAATTCTATTGTTATCAAAGCTTATATGCATGGTGTCAATAAATATTATAACAATGATTTCCAGTACACACATACAGTATTTACGCAAATTTGGCCTTAAATACCCATTTCTTGATTTTCAAGATGCCTCTGGCACCAAAATTCTTTTTGTTACAGCCTATTCCACGCTGACGAGCGCCAACAGCGCGAAACGCGTTCGTGGTTGGATTTTCTTGATTTATCAAGAAATTGGGTAGGCCAAAGATCACGGAGCAAGTTAAATAAACGTTTAATATATTTTTGCTCCACTAGATGGCGTTCTGCCATCTAAAAAAGCACATGTGCTCGTGGTCAGAAAATGCCTTCTTTATTTTTAATACAGTATCGTATATAAAACAAACCCTTAATACAATAGTAAAATTCTAAAGGACGGCAAGATTGTTAAAACTTGCAAACCACTAGGAGGACTCACTACTATTGAGTCAGCTCTTTAATATTTCTCTCATAGGACTCTGAGGACAGTATGATATTTGATTCAAATAAAGAGAAAAGAAAGATTTAAAAAAAAAAAATTCATTCCTTAAATTTTAATGAGACTTATCGCCTTATTTTGATGAAAATATAGGTCAAATTACATTTTTAATATATGAAATTATATTTATACAAAAGAATTGCTATAAATTATTAAATAAAAACAAACGATAGCAATGCGTCTCTTTATACATAAAATTTAATATGCTAGCTTTCGGATCTTATCGATCCTTCAACAGGCCAAGCTGTAAATTGAGAGAAAGAATATATATATAAATGTACAATATTATTTATATACAACTAACGAAGATAGAGAATAAAATATAAAATAAAATAAATATAAACACATTTCACGAGTTCACGTTTTCTCGTGGCCAGGCTGATGTTGTTTCATCTTTGTCCAAAGCTCAGTTTGTTTTCTTTTCATAGTCAATTGGTCCTTCCATTCCAATGGCCGGCATGTTTCTCTCTCTCCCACACAACCTAATTATAGAAAACCTCCGTTCTTTGCTTTCTTCGCACAGCATCCCGAACCCTGAAATAGAAGGAATCATTTTAATGTTTGAATCATGCTTGGCAACATCTAACTTCAGCTTCGAAGATCAGTTTTTTAAGAAAATCTGTGGATCTCCTATGGGTAGCCCTTTATCCAACATTGCGGCAGAGCTCGTCATGAGCGCCATTGACAGCTGGATTTTGGAACAGAAACATCTCCGAATAGAAGTTTGGAAAAGGTACCTGGACGACATTTTTTGCATATGTCACAAGGATGACGTCCTATTGGTGTTGGAAACCCTAAACTCTTACCATACACGCCTCACTTTTACAATAGAACATGAGTCCCACAAAGTTTTGCCATATTTGGACATTCTTTTTATCAAAACTGATGAATCATACCACACAACAGTTTATTACAAAAAATCCATAAAACCACCTATCTCCTTTTTGATTCATATAACCCAATAGGCCACAAACTCACAGTCGTCAGAACACTCACGAAAAGAATACATACACACTGCTCCACCCCAGCCTTCAAAAAAAATAGAAAAGACAACCATCATCAGTAATCTAACAGCAAGTGGCTATCCACTTCCCTTCATACTTAGACATAGTTTCAACCCTTCCAAACACACTCAGCCCGCAGTAAACCGTAACACCTGCATTATACCTTATTCCTTTGAAAATCAATCTATTGCCCTCTCCCTCAAGAAATTTGGTTTAAGAACCTTTTTTACCAACCACCTCTCAATAGGCCAAATACTCCGGAACCCCATCACCAAATCTAATATTAAGAAACGTCCCGACCAGCAACCATATGCCATTTACTCCATAGGTTGCCAAGATTGCAACGCTAAATATGTGGGTGAGACTGGCCGTTTCATTTACAACAGAATTTCCGAGCACAACAGAAATATAATAAACAAAGATCCCAAATCTTTGATCTTTCAGGATACCTCTAAAACCGGCCATGCCTTTAACCTTTCCGACCCAACCTGTCATTACCACAACATCAAACCCAAATATCAAAGATTATTAATAGAATCCTTCGTCTCTCAAGATTTAAACAGTATAAACAGGCGTATAGAACTACCATCTCAGTACCGCTCATTCAGGAAAAAACAGCCCGTCCATTGGAATGGAAGGACCAATTGACTATGAAAAGAAAACAAACTGAGCTTTGGACAAAGATGAAACAACATCAGCCTGGCCACGAGAAAACGTGAACTCGTGAAATGTGTTTATATTTATTTTATTTTATATTTTATTCTCTATCATCGTTAGTTGTATATAAATAATATTGTACATTTATATATATATTCTCTCTCTCAATTTACAGCTTGGCCTGTTGAAGGATCGATAAGATCCGAAAGCTAGCATATTAAATTTTATGTATAAAGAGACGCATTGCTATCGTTTGTTTTTATTTGAAATTATATTTACACGCAAAGACAAAACTTAAGGAAATTGCACCTTCGCATGTATATTAGGATTCATACAATAACTCTGAAAGTTATTTTTGATATACAGTGACCTTTATTGAAGACACATAATATAACGAAGTGCGAACCAAATTGACTTTGTCTTCTTCAAACCACAAGGCGATAAGCGATATCAAAGATGTTTCACTTCCTAAAGTTTTGTCCATGAGTGTAATATGACATAAATTATTTTAAAAACGGATCTTCTACTGGCTTTGATTTTTAAGTAAAATTCAAACCTTTTGGTTATCTCTGAGCTTGTTCATAATGAAAATATGATGAATTATTCAGTCCAAGAGAGGTGTATACTGTTAGAAACTTTTTCGAATAAGGAGTATATCATTAAGATATATATATTGTTGAATTTATAATCCCCAATATTTTGAATATAAAAACAATTATTTTCTCTTTTGCAATTTCATCCATATTCATATGAAAATATACAAGTCACAAAATATACATGTTATATTAATTTAATTTATAAATAAATAAATATTTAATTATTTCTATTTATTTATTTGAACAACACTATTATATACTTGTTTTCATTAAAAAAATGTAATTTTAGACATGATTGCAAATCTAAAATTCAAAAATAATATTCAAAATAAAAAATAAAAAAATCCATGTCACAGAGTAGATATACAGTTAGGAAAAAGGTTGAGCTCCCTGTTTCAGAAGGAGCTAACCGACAGATGGCCAGAGTCACACCAACTTTTTCAATACTACACACCTCCCCCACAGCAACGTCTCAAAGAGCTCTTTCAACAAATGCTGCTGGAAATTCTTTGACGGCTAAAAAGTTATAAAAACCTTCTTCAACCTCCCTTCTCCATAATGTCTATTTTATATAGGCAATCCTCCTCCTTAGCTACTTGGTGAATCACAAAACTATATTGGGTTTCTAGCCTGTTTATTTCGCCTGACTATTTTTTTTTCAAATTATTCAGACTATCTCTTCTAATTTATTTTATTCTTTAAATCTTTTCATTGTTATTAATTTTGCTAAATCGATTATTACACTATGAAATTACTTTCTTTGAAAGATCATATTATTCTAAATCTATTTTATTGAAGTGTATTGCATTTAATTAATATGAAATTAGTTTGAAATAAATATCAAACGACACTATAAAATATGGTTATTTAAATTTATATTTTTCTTTAGATAATAGTGTAAACTTCTAAGGATGAGTATATTTTATCAAACTCATCCGTAGACGTTTACCTTTTTCTCTAAAATTGCTAGAAAATAATTATATATATATTCTGAATTTATATTTTTCCTATTGAGTAATAATGCGATATTGCTTATAAATAACTTCTCAATCGTTTATAATTAATAGAAAGAGGTTGATGAGAGTGAAAAAATTACTTCGCCTCATGCATATTATTATTTGTGTTTTCTTCAACATTCCTGAAGTTTATAGTTTCTATAAATTTTTCTGCTATACTAGGAGATATTGCACACTATATAGGCCATTACAATACTTTAAAAACCTTGTGTTAGAGTTAGTAAAACTTCTATGATGGTTGGTCCCTTAATAACATGGTATTTCATTTATAATTTCATCATTAAGTAGTGTAAGAAAAGTTTTTGATGATTTATATTGAAAGAAAGACTGTAGAAATGTATTGTATAATATCTTTTTAAACCGATACCACTATAAAATTCCATCTTTACCTTGGGGGTCGGTGGAAGGATGGTCTAAACCGTTGGTTTTCGACCGCTACGACCCGAGATCGAATCCCGTATTGGGCAATTTTTTCTAATTAAAAAAAAAACCTCCAATTGCCCCCAAATCTTGCAAAGGTCCAACCCCACCAGTCAGTGCAAATAACCAAACGGGGATCTGGCACATTTGTAAGTGTAAACTCGAACTGCTTTTCACATATATAGACATGTGTTGCACTTACAGTAAAAGCAGTCACCAACTTCTATCCACTATGATTACCATGGCCTGTGCCACGTGTAATAAAAAAAAATAATAAAAATATTTATAATACATTATAAAGGACTGCGGCGTATGATTATAAAACAACACTTAAAGTTTCACCGCATAAGTTTCTTTTCTGTGAAAAATCTATATTTATTTCAAAGAGAAATATTTACTATTTCTAACTTTTTTGGATGAAGTATGAAAGGGTGAAAATATGAAGAGTAATGGCGAACGGAAAAATAAAAGTGTCCAGGGGCGGGAATCGAACCCACAACGTTCCGCTTACCGGGCAGATGCCATGTCCACTGGGCTACCCTGGACGTATTTTTCCGTTCGTAAATAATACTTAAAGTAACTTATAATACATTATAAAGGACTGCGGCGTATGATTATAAAACAACACATAAAGTTTCACCGCATAAGTTTCTTTTCTGTGAAAAGGTAGTCTTTTCTGGGTAGCCTAGTGGACATGGCATCTGCCCGATAAGCGGAACGTTGTGGGTTCGAATCTTGCCCCTGGACACTTTTATTTTTCCGTTCGCCATTACTCTTCATATTTTCACCCTTTCATACTTCATCCAAAAAAGTTAGAAATAGTAAATATTTATCTTTGAAATAAATATTGATTTTTCACAGAAAAGAAACTTATGCGGTGAAACTTTAAGTGTTGTTTTATAAAAAATATTTATATACCTTGAATCAATATAGAAATAACGCGCCATCCATTTAACGATTTCCCTTCATCCAGTTTCCTCGTTGATCTCAACATTCAGGGTATTCTGTCTTTAATGTAGCGTCAACAAGGATCTGAACCATGATTGCTGATATGACATTCCATGATGCTGCAACGTCGTCAAATTGCTCCTGGAGACACTCTTTGACTTTCTAACGAACTCATTTTCTTACGTCAGGGCTCTTGATGTGGCTGTACTATCCTTTAAAGTAACGCGGGAAAGGTGTTGGTATTCTCAGCTCATAGCCAGTCATAGCCTCTGAGATTCATTATGTCGTTCCATATGACTGTCTTGAACCTATAGATTCTATATCCTGCTAACAGTCATGGGATCTCGACCTATTTGAGCAGCAATTTTGACGTACGATAAACCGCAATCCCAGTAGGTTAAACTTCCTCTATAAAGCTAAAGAAACGTATTGGTAAGCATGTATACTTCTTACACTAAGCCTCCCAATACCTTTCAATACGAAGCAACATTTTAAATCCAATTTCTATATGAGATAAACAAATTCCTGCTGTACAATTTCTTCTGTTGAACACATTGAAAGTGCTGCTACCAACGCCTATTTGGTCAAAATACGGTAAAATTCAAACTAGAGCATTTTATTCCTAATGTTTAAATCCCACTCCTCTATCGTGTATCGCTTTCTTGGTGTAGCAATTTTAATAGCCAGTAGTATAATTAAACTGAAACAAATTTCATAATATTTATAGTTCGTGAAAGATTAATAATGGTTGATTGAAAGGTTTTCACAAGATTCTCACCTTTATCAATGATACATCTTTCATTAGAAATAGTATTTTAAAATATTTCAGCAAGCTTTCAAGCTTAATAGCAAATATAAAAAAAAAAAAAGAGCATCCACATATTGCGCATTTACTTGAAGTTTATTATTCATGTTTTAGAAAAAGTCATTCTATAAAAATATATTTTTGCAATCAATATATTGCTTAAAGATCTGCTACTACACTTGTTTATATATATTTTAAAGCTCTCTTTTCAATTATATAATAAAATGTTTGAAATAATATTAAAAATAATCATTAGTTCCTAAACTAAACATTAATCACCTTGATAAACCATAAAACGTGATTTATTCCTTTTTAAAATACCTTATTCTATAATTAATTTGTCACATAAATGGCCTTTATGGTTTGCGAAAGAGTATTAATAAAGGCAAATATCCACTAAGCCTTCTCATTCAATAACTTTTATTATTCTAGAAAGGTCTGTAAAGATAATATTTGAAGACATATTTAGAAAAAAGACATTTCCAAAATATAATTATTATATATTTGATTAATAGTAGGAAATTGGATTTATAAATTCAAATCTACTTATATATATATATATTTGCCTTATTCTGTCTGTTTGTTTGTCTGTTTGTCTGAAGCTCACGGATAGAATGCGCGCCCATTGGCCGCCAGCGAACACGTGGCCTCCCTGCCCCCCTCTAGACAACCCTGTTATTCAAAAACCATACATCCAATCGCCATGAAATTCTGGGATATTATTAGGTATATCCCCGGAAAGGTGTCCGAAAAATAATTTCTTGAATTTCCTTAGAGTTATTTGCAGATATGTAGACTTAGCTCGCATGCAGCGCCACCATTGCGACGACGGAGATAGGCTTTGCTCCACCCCTGAATGACCTTGGGTCATCGTGTGAGTCACAGCATGATGCAACAAAAACACTCTCTCTAGAATAGAGGTGAGTGACTACCTCTATAGAACTTAGATCGTCGTCACAACACAGAGTGGCGGTGAAATCGCAATAATATTATATTTATATATATATATATTATAATAAGGCAATTATATATATAGATTGAACGATAGGCTATTGCACAAATATTTAATCTTTCTTACATAAAGTACAATACTTAAATGAAAATATGTTTCTTATACAATCCAATACTATAGAATAGACCTTTATATCGGTAACCTTTATATATTATATATTTTATATTATATATATTATATATTTTATATATTTCATATTTTCTATGTATTATATAAAATATATGTTATATATAAGTATTTATCCACCTGTCTATACAGACCACCCTGTCTATAGCGACCACTCTAGACAACCCTGTTATCAGCTGTGTGATACATCCACCTGTCTATACAGACCACCCTGTTAATAGCGACCACCCAAGTCAACGTTTTTAAAATATATTCGCACTCGGGTAAACCCCGGGCGTTGCCCGGGCCATTCGTCTAGTAATTATATATATACCTACTGTCCTGAAAGCTTATGCCTATAGTTTTCTTAACTACCATAATTATGGTTCCACCTTAAAGTATGACAGTATCGCATTTATAAGCAGAATCATCCAATACTGTATTAGAGTTCTAAAAGCGGTGTCTGATAAATTATTAATCTTATTATAATAAAATACTTATAAGCTGAATAATCCAATAGTGTATTAGGGCTCTAAATACGGTGTTTGAGAAATTATATTAACATTTTATTATAATTAAATACCTTTAATAGTTTATTAATATAATTAATAGATGACAGTAAAATTCACAGCGTTAGTAAACTTCTATTAATCATTATAGAAAGGAAATTAATATTTAAACAGAACGGAGGAACCGCCAGTTGCATACAAATAGGATCAACAAAGGCAGATGTCAGGAGATACCGTTTGATAGCTTGAACCTTTGACGTCGAAATAGCTTCAAATTTGCGTGAGGGTTTTACAAAGGACTTCAACAGATGAGATGTTCCCATGGAATTGGTATGACTATCACATGACACTCTTATTATACGGGAATGGGAAATCTGACATCCGAATACTTCATATTTCTACCTGAATATTTCTGATATATGGATATATTAATATATTCATTGATATTTCTAACTCGCTTCTATTTATTCAGCATTTCATTTTATAATTTTCATATCGAATATAATTCATATTTTTTATTACCAGTTGCAGGGGGTCGGTGGAAGGATAGTCTAAACCGTTGGTTTTCGACCGCTACGAGCCGGGTTCGATTCCCGCATTGGGCACCTTTTTTCTGATTTAAAAGAAAATTGCTCCAATTACCCCCGATTCTTGCAAAATTCCAACCCCACCAGCGAGTGCAAGTAACCAAACGGAGCTCTTGCACATTAGTAAGTGCAAAGTCGAACTGCTTTTCAAATGTGTTGACATGTGGTGCACCTACAGTAAAAGCAGCCGCTAACTACCCACCATGATTATCATGGGCTGTACCACGTGTACTTGGGATAAGCAAAACAAGACACGCCATATCCGATCTGGATATTTGCGCGTGAAACTATTTACAATAATTCATATTGTAGTAGAGTAGATAACAGAATTATCAAAAATAAAATAAACAATTAAGAAAAGAGCATTGAATAAACATAAACATTAAACAAATAAGCAGCAACATAAGCAACAATCCAGATAAAGAATCACTTCATGTTATATTAACGATGTTTTTTAACGCGGTATTTATATATATTTATATATTATGATGCATCAACGCGCCATCTGTTATGAAAATTCGACACTATTATAGCCGCGTATGATTCCTTTTATAAATTAAACAATTTCTACTGTCCTTACTGCAATGGAAAAAATTAAAGAGAAGGCCTGGCTTATCAGTGGTGAACCCTCCCAGCGGTTTTGTCAGTTTAATCTACCTGATGAGCTAGGCCCTCTCTTTAATTTTTCCATTGCAGTAAGGACAGTAGAAATTGTTTAATTTTCAAAAGAATCATACGCGCCTATAATATTTTCGAATATTCATATCTATATTATAGTATATAATGAAAAAAACAATAGAAAAAAATAAAAGATAAGTGGGTCAGGTGTTGATATTAAAAATAAATAAGGCATCTCCTGACCACGAGCAAATGTGCATGGGTTGGCCAAATATCACGGAGCGAGCTTAATAAACGTTTAGTTTATTTTTGCTCCACTAGATGGCGCTCTGCCATCTAAAAAGCACATGTGCTCGTGGTCAGGAGATGCCTTATTTATTTATAGTTTATAATATATTGTAACAAAGTACTTTCTTATTGTATTTTTCTATATAGGGAGTAAATTTGAGGAAATTAATTTTATTAATATATTAATGATTTTCATAATGTTTTAGAGATAAATTTACATAAATTTGCTGAGAGCCATTTTCTATGTTGTTATCAAGATTTTTTTTTATTACACACTTTTAGAGTTTTGACTATCATCTTTAATTACTGGACTATATTATTATTTTCATTATAATTAACAAGTAATTGTCAAGTATATTTTATCATTCTTATTTATCTAGCTTTTGGGGTAACGGTTCCTTCTTTGGAGATCTAGAAATGGACTACCAGCTAAATATACACGCTCCTATATCCTTGTTCTTCGTTCCAAAATCAACTTATTAGGTACCGATCAAATAATATTTTAAAGAAGGAATTATAAAGTGTACAGCGACGTGTTTCTTTTATTTGTGCTGTATAATCGGTAAGCTTTCGGATTATGACGTCTTTCAACAGGCTACTATCCTAGAAACTAGAATCAGGATTTTGTATATTTGAAGGCTATTCACATATTAAAACAAAGGATCCAACGCGGGATTCGATCCCGGTTCATAGCTGTCGGGAATCAAGGGTGTTACCTACTCGTACACCGACTGTCATATTTAACTCCTATATCTGAGATGAATGTTGCCTATTAGAAAACATATTTTGTAGTAAAATGACAAAAACATCTCAGTTTTTCAGGTTGATTCCTTTATTTTCTAAATCGTTTCGTTAAATATAAATCACCAAAATATA